TATGTGAACATTTGTGTGTGTGTGTGTGTGTGTGTGTGTGTGTGTGGTATGTGGTATATGTGAACATTTGTGTGTGGGTGTGCGCCAGTCCGTGTGTGCACACAGAAGCCAGAGGAGAGCACGGGGTGTCCTGCTCTATGGCTCTCTACCATATTCACTTACTCACTGAAGACAGAGTCTCTCATAGACTCATTAGACACCGGGAGCTACACTGGTGGCCAGCAAGCCCTTGTGATCCTGTCTCCGCCCACACAATACTGGTGTTACAGACACCCGAGGTCACACCTGGCTGGGGTGCTGGGGACTTGAACTCTGGTGTCCACACCTGCATGGTAAGCATTCTTACCCACTCACCTGTCTCTCCAGGCCTGATATATGAATTTTTTAGTTTTTTGTTTGTTTGTTTGTTTGTTTATTTGTGGAGGTTTTTTTGAGACAGGGTTTCTCTGTTTCCTGGAATTCTCCTGTAGACCAGGCTGGCCTCAAATTCATGGAGATCCGCCTGGCTTTGCCTCCTGAGTGCTGGGATTAAAGGCGTGCGCCACCACCTCCAGCCTGATATATGAGTTTTAATTGTATTATTCTTTATACTTTTCTGTGACTTTGAAATGTTTTCGATAAAATTCAAGCAGCAAAGTGGCACTAAACCCAGGGTTTAGGGAGAGATTGACATGGGCAGACCCCCACTTGTGAGCCAGGCTCTGGAACAGGATGCTCATGCACCCTTATTTCTCTTGACCTGCCTTTAAGTAGATGTTGTCCCCATTTTACACACGGGCACAACAAAGCATGGAGAAATAATGGCTTGTAACAGTCACACAGCAGTTGAACTGTGAGCCAGAGGTTCTGTGCAGGTCTACTCCTCGCTTGGGAAACTTTCAGCTAAATCCCAGTGACCCATTCTCCTTCCCCCACATAGCAACCCTTCATCTCCTCAAGTTCTCATAAAGGGGATACATACAGAAATCTCATTTGTAATCCAACAGGAGATAAGCATTTTACATTCATCATCAAGGCCCCCAAACAGAAGCAAGCAAAACTGGGAACTCCAGGACCCAAAGCTACGCTGTAGGGTGGTCCAGGGACCCCCACGGGAAAGAAAGTTCTGGAAAAATAAATGTTGACATTTGACACCACAGGAGCAACAGTTTGAAAAGACACTTCCAACCAAAATTGATTTCACAAAAACCAATATCGAAAAATCAGACTCCGATTCCAATGAAATATCAGTTTGATGTTTATTGGCTTGGGCAAATGTTGGCATTTTCCAGCCCAGCATTCAAATAAAACAATTTCTGAGCTAGCTGGGACCTCCATGATCACCATGTTGCCTGCTGATGTCTCTGTCAGCTCTACTTTACTGGACGTAGCATCTGTTACATTCTATCAACTCTTCTTCAACAGTTCAGATTTATAAGTCTCTCTCACATCTTGCTTCTGTGGCACAAAGCTTAGCTAATAGGTTTTTTGTTTGTTTGTTTGTTTGTTTGTTTGAGTCAGACTCTTTATAAAATAGGAAAGCATTATAAGTAGAAGAGGTCATAGTTAGGGGCCCAGGTCACAGTTAGGGGCCCAGGTCACAGTTAGGTGCCCAGGTCATAATTAGAGGCCCTGGGTACCACACTTTCTTCCTCTGCTCTTCCTCTTTGATTCATCCTTCAAGGTCAAGACCCAAGGAACAAAATGCATAGCACATGGCCTGCCCATCCACCATGGTGAGGTGGGGCTGTGCTCAACAGACTTCGGGGGGTGGGGGTGGGGGTGGGTTCTCCCCTTAGAAGGAAGAGTCTTTTGCCACGGTTTCAGGATACCATGTTTTTCCGAGATGTGCTTTTGTCTGCTTAATTAAATACAGCCCAATGACTATATCTCCCCAAAGTCGGGACTGCCGTAGAAAGGGAGCAAACCCCGTCATTACCCACAAAGTCGCTCCTATTCTGAGACCCCTGCTATTAAGTCATTTGGAGGGATCCTGGGTAATAAAGGTGGGGCCTTTGTAGTGTCTGAGCCCAGAGCCTAGATCTGCAGTAATGAGCCAGGGTTGACTGCCTTGGGGACACAGGCCTCTGACAGGCATGGGCGAAAGTCACGTGTATGTATATTAATGGTAAGGACCTAAGCAGCTGCTGCTCTCTTGAGCACTCATTTCTGCTGATCAGGCCACTCTTTCAAATGCTTCTTTTACTTTTACTCTAATGTAGAGACCAACTGAATGGATGCTGTTCCACTTTTTAGACAAGGAAGCAGAGGCTCAAGTTGGTAAGGGGTAACATTCAAGGTCACACAGCCTAGCTTCAAGTCCAGCTCTCCGATGCCCCACCTCTTCTGTCCTCGGTCCCTGTCCACACCCCTCCCAGGGTTGGTTTGACACCTGTACCTGGTCCTAGAACTCCCGCTGTCCTTGCTGAGGCTGGCCTTAAGCCAGAAGCCTGGTTTTGAGCCCTCATCTAGAAGCCCCATCCAAGTTCAGGCAAGATCCAGAAACCCCCCCCCCACACACACACACACACACAAACAGCCCTGAGTTCCCTGTGAACCTCTCTCTGGTCCGTGGGGCCCCATACCTACCCCTGCCACCAGCTCTCCTGAGCTATATTGGGGCACTCTCCTCTGGCCTCCATCACCCCTTTGTTTACTTTTCTGAGCCACACTGCACCTCACTCTTGAGGCTCGGCCTCTCCTTCAGGAACAACAACTGTGCTTCCCTGGGTCCCGGAGGGTCCATGCGCATGCTGTCACTGATATGGTTTGACTTTGCAGTACAGTTTAAGTATTCAGATGCTCATATGTCTGATAGAAACTTGTGGGCATCTCTCCTGAAGGGGATTTGTGCTGGGAACCTGTTTAAACGCCACCCACACCGTTTGGACCAGTGGAGAAGTGAGGCTGTTGTGACTGGTTTATAGGGGCCTGAGGTATAGGTTTAGGAGGGAAACACACTGTCCAAGGGGTTGTTGATAGACAGCTCTGCATCCTGTTAGTGGGGAGATTGAAAACACAAGTGCCTTCATCCTTAAGTGACACCAGCCACGATGTTAGAATCCGAAGAGCAAGGCATGTCCACGCTGTGCCCCTCACATCTCCCGAGCCTGGCCAGGAATGTACAGATCTCTGAAGAGATGGAGTGGAAGGCATCACTGGGCTCCAGCTGGGGGGCACAGCTCTGCCCAGCGTTCCCGCAGTGCCCAGGTCCTGGTTTAGGGTTGTGAGTCTCTGTTGTGAGCCAGCCCTGTCATATCTGGTTCCCCTTCTACAGCACATGGACCAGAGAGAAGAAGCAACAGGGCAAGAGAGGGAGAGACAGCAAACGAGAGTCTGAAGACTTTGAAGACACTTGGGAGAATGAGGACAGAGTAGTGCCCAGAGCATCCCATGCCTTTGTCATCCTTAGCTTTCTGTCACTGTGACAAGATTCCTGAGGTCACTCGGTGAAAAGGAGGAAGATGGGATGTGGGTGAACGCTCAGTCAGTACTTACCTTGCATCATGAGGATTGGAGTTCAATTCCTGCGGTGATACATTGTGTACCATAATAAACTTGCCTGAGGATCAGAGGACAGAGCCAGCCACTAGATTAGACTTAGAGGTCAGGTGGCACACACCCTTAATCCCAGCACTTGAGATCTCATGCCTTTGCTTGGGATTACAGGGATTAAAGCAATTCCTAACATATTCTTCAGTTGAATGTGGTGGTGGCACATGTCTGTGGTCTTACCACTGTGGAGGCTGAAGTAGGAGGATTGTGTGTTCAAGGCCAGCCTGAGCTAATAGTGAGAACATGTCTCAAATCCCAAGTAACAGTAATAACAATAACAACAATATTAACAATAATGGTAAGTGTGCTCGGGGAAAATAAATAATTGTAAACAACATGGGCATGGGCAGAGCTTGCAGACAGCATAAATGAATAATGCTTGTTTTTCTATTTTCCCACACCACCCCTCCCATATGTTGCTTTTTAAAGGAGTCTAGCAAGAGCTCCCCGTGTAGGTGTGTCTAAACCTAGATTCTTTAATCACTATCTGCTCCAGTTCAGTTGGTGCCAGGTCACAGGCCCCACTAAGAACATGGCCGACTCTGCACAGATGGGCTTGTGTCTCTTCATTCTGGTGCCTCTTGCTCTAGGAGGGACTCTCTATGTCCCTGTGGTATAGACGGGTCATCCAATTCTCCTGTGTGAACTGAAGTTCCTAGAAAAAAAGCCACATACGGCTTCAAAGTTCCACTGATCTGCTGATTAGAAGTTTGTAATTGCAGAGCTGTAATATTGCAGATCCAGAGCCAAATGATCTGAGGCCAGCTTTTCCCCCTCACACTCTGAATAGCTGACCTTGGGGTCTGACTTAATACCCCCGTGACTTCCATGTGAAACCACCAGCCCCAAAGCTAAAAATGTCAGGAGAAAGCACCTGAGACCTATCTGTGAGATTTCCCTGCTCCGACCTGCTTTATTGATGTTCCCACTGATGTATCTAAAAAGTGACTTGATTTATGACTTTCTTCTGTAACTACAAAAGCCTCGTGAAACCATTTCCACATTAAAATACGTCATATGGGGCAACCCGAAGCTGTGTTCCTGGGCCGTGGTCACTCATACTTGACTCGAGAATAAACTATCTCTCACTCCCGGTGAGGTGAGAGCTGGTTTTCATCCACACCTGCCCAGATGCCCGTAGTTCCCTGGTGGGGACCAGAGATCAGAGGGGACAAGGGCAGACTCTCCAGGAGTCACCAGACGAGGCAGACGGATGTGGCTGCCCACCTGGGGCTGGTGTGAGGGACAAGCCTGGTGGAAGCGTAGGGCCATCTTGCTGGAAGCATTGGGTCTGTCAGGTAAGCGCAGACGGACAGACAGGGAGCAGGCTGTGACAGAGATGGCTGCAGGGCAGAGCTACACCACGCTGAGAGAGCGGCAGGGGCAGGGAGAAGGCTTATGTGTCCCGGGAATCTGTTTCTGAACAATAAACTCACCGAGACCTGGATTAAAAGGAGCCAGTCTTTGGATGGACTGAGTTTCCCGTCTCCGTTTCTGGTCCAGATCTACCTGACCGATCGTCACGTGTGCCCGCCTTCTTGGCACTGCCTCTCCCCACCCCTTCTCTCTCTCATTTCATGGTTTCCAGGATTTGTTTTTAGCAGGCACAATACGACTCAGAAATCACCGACATGAAACGGGGCCTTGCAGTTCCCTGGAAGCAAGAGGCTTCCCCAGGCGAGGCCACTGTGGGCAGAACCATGTGGGAAAGCAGCAGGGACCGTGAGGAGGCCCAGTGAAGGGGAGAGTGGGTAGGAAGCTGTGGCTTCTCCAGGCAAGGACGGAACATGCTGGGCTGGGATAGCTTAGTGGGTAAAGTGCTTGACCTGAGAGTGTGAGGACCAGAGTTCGGATCCCCGGCACCACATGAAAAGCCAGGTGCGGTGGTGTGTGCCTGTGATCCCAGCCTGGAAGGCAGGACAGAGGGGTAACCTCTGTCATGCAGTGAGCTCCAGGTTCAAAGGATAAGGTAGAGGGCCTGGGGGGAGGGGGTCACTGGCCAATGGTGTGCATGACTCTTTTAGAAAATCTGAGTTCAATTCCCAAAACCCACGTGAAGGGGGGGCGCATAATATGCTTACACACACACACATACACACACTCACGCGCGCGTGCACAGTGGAAGAGGCTGGGCCAGCAGGAGGTTAGGAGCAGTTGGTTTAAAAACCTCAGCAGCTGATCTTGGGCACTGCATTAAACAGCCTCGGCTTGTGTCAAGCCCTGGGTGACTGGGGCAGGGGGATGGTGGCTGTGATGGTTAATCTCAGTTGTCAACTTGATGAGATCTACAATCACCTTGGAGACGGACCTCTCGCCATGCCTGTGGGGGATTATCTTGGTTGGGTTCATGGAGATGGGAGGACCTGCCCACTGTGGGCAGCATCCTTCCCTATATGCATTAGGACTGGATGAAAGGGAAAAAGCAAGCTGAGCACTGCTTCCTGACTGTGGGCACAGTATGGCCCTCAAGTTCCTGCTTCCATGGCTCCCTACCATGATGGACGGTACCCTCGAACTGTGAGCCAAAATAAACCTTGTGTTCTTTACGTTGCTTTTGTTATGGTGTTTTATCATAGCAACAGAAACGTATCTAAGGCAGGCATGTAGATGGTGAACTGGAGAGTGGACCCAGTAAATGAGGTGGCTCCTGGCCTGGGCTCTGGGTCAGTTTCTTTGAAGATGAAAATCTCACAAGAAAGTTGTTGGTTATCTCAAAAAAATAGTCGCACTCTAGAAAAGGTCATTCCAGGGTGAGTAAGCTCCAAGATGTCAAAGCAGAGTAGATCTGTCCCTTTGTGCTGGCTTTATATTCTATGCCAACACGACACAAGCTAAAGTCCTTTTAGAAGAGGCAATGCCCCCAGATTGGTCTGTGGGCCAACCTGTGTAAATTTTGATTTATGATGGATATGGGAGGGCCCTGATCACTGTGGACAGTGCCACCCCTTGGGAAGGTGGTCCTGAGTTGTGTAAGAAAACAGGCTGAACAAGCCATGGAGAGCAAGCCAGTAAGCAATGTTCATCCATAACCCTTGCTTCAGTTCCTGCCTCCAGGTTCCTGCTCTGCTTGAGTTCCTGCCCTGGCTTCCCTCAGGGATGGACTGTTACCTGGAAGTATAAGCTGAAATAAACCCTTTCCTATCCATGTTGCTTTTGGTCATAGTCTTTATCACAAGAGAAACCCTAAGAGTCCTTGTGTGCCTTCCAGGCGTTTTCTATTCTTTCTTCTAAACGACACACGGTGACAAAGCATTTCAAACACACTGTCCCCCTCAAGACTCATTATAGATGGAATACTGCTTAAATCCACAGTTGGATTTGAAGAATGGGACTATGTCCCCTTCAGATCTTATTTTCCAAAGAACTATTTGTGCAGAAGGAAGAGCCGCCCTCCGCCTTTCTCGGCCTGGCAATCCGTCTTCTCTGCAGTCACAGCCCTAGCTGGATGCTGCTGCATCTTCCCCATCTCTATTTTTATATCTTACTACAGATGCCCGTGCCCATAAACAATACACGGTATAGTGTAAGGAGTAAACACACGCCATACTCTGTCTGCAGCCCGGCGCGTCTCTCTCGTTTGAGCCGGCCCTTTCATAGGTGGCTTCCACTGGCTTCCACTTACCGCCAACGGTTCTCCCACCTCACCTGGGCATCCCCTGCCGTCCCTCTCTTTCTGCCCTGCTACCTTGGTTGCATCCTTAACTGTTAATGGACATTCTAAATTATTATTTCCTATTAAGATCTTTATATATTTGATATCTTTTACATCTACTGATGTGATAAGCATTGTAACCACATCTACGGGTGCCCAGGATTTGCTCTATATTTCTTATTATGTCCTAGAATTTTGGGTCTAAACTTTTCAGTTGTGATTATTTTTATTTTACTGTCAGGGGTTAATTAAAATTGCCAACAGATTTTACTGGTATCTTTGCTCACCGCCATTTTGGTGCCCCATTCCTTTTTCAGGGTTCACTCTTCTTTTTGCTGAGTTCATTCTTAGTTTATACTCTGTCGGTGTGGTAAGGGTTAAGGGTGGCCATCTCTCAGTGTTTGGATGTCTCAAATTGTCTCTGTTTCCTTCTTCCCCTGAAGTGATAGTTGAGCAGGGTATAGTATTCTAGGCAAATGCTGTTTTCCTTATGACATCATTATTGTGACTTCTGATTGCTCACAAGTGTCTGCTTGTGGTTCTCCTCCCTCGGAGATTGTCAGCCACTGGTCTGCCAAGGGGGAGGGAGAAGAATTGAGTGAGCAGGGTTGGACGGCTTGTGGGTCGATGGAGATAGCTCTCCAGGGGACAGCTTCAGTGAGTTAGCTCAACTTTATTCCAGAATATAGGGAATATATAGGATTGAGGATGGTAGCTGGGGCATCACCTAATTTGCATTAAAGATCATGCATCTATCATAAAGCTCCTAGGACAAGTCTTAGTTATCATCTGTGGAAGCAAGGTCCTAT